AAAGAGTTAATGAATGCTACTTACTTGTTATTTTAGACAACGATCCATCATCGAAAAAACTGCGTTGTTAATAAGTTGTATGAGGTCCAGCTCACGCAAAAGTAGCAGCAGTACGCCGCCATGTTTTGAGTCATGCTCAGGCGCGTTTGTAACCTGTGATCTGATTGGCTGGTCCTTGTGCGAGATTTGTACAAGATTTGTATAGGCATTGAGTCAGATGTAGTTAGGGTGACTGGGACACAATTTTCTAAGAACTGATTAACGGCAAGAAAAACCAAAAAAATTGACATATTCAAACTAAAATACAAATAAATATAATATAAAGGGTTATATATAAAAAAAAATATAAAAAAAAAAAAAATTGGAGCCTCATACCTACATCGGATTTTAATCAGATTGGGCCGTGCTCAGCGACCTCTGGTACTAACTCTATGAATGAGGTATTTCCAGAGGTAAGGGTTTATTTTTTATCGATCCGTCTCGTCTGTAGTTGAATAAAACTTGTCTCGATTTACAATAGTTTCCCTTCCATTTCGATTTTTCTCACTGGCGTTTGAACGATTGGGTAGTAAAAACTGCGAAAAGCCGTTGTGTAGCAAAATAATACGGCTCATTTCAACTTGTAATAGTAGTTTATAAATAAATAAACGCTGCTCGGACTGATAAATATGATATATAGAAGATAATATTTGGTAATCGTAGTCCTAAATAACTATTAAAAATAGCTAGACGTTTCGATTAATCAAATTAATTAATCAAATTGATTACGATTACCAAATATTATCTTCATTTCAACTTGGTCGTCTAACTTCGCGCGGTCCATTTCACCTTAGATGATGAAAAACTGCGTCATACATAGTATTTTTTTAAAGGTTTGAAGAAAGGTAAATTTAGACTGAACCCACCCAATGGTAATCGCTATGTTTATATAACTGTATGAATATCTCATCGTTATTACGTAATCCCTTCCTCCGTAGAAATGAACGCCATTACAGTTTTCATGCAACGTTTTGAGTCTGTGGACGATTTTAAGGCCGTTTCCCCCGAATTGTAAATGTTTTTATTTTATTTTTTTATCTGACGATTGAACATCAACAAGCGTCGGCGCATGATAAATTTTGGCATGTCGTCGTGATGCAATAGCTATTTTTGAGGACGATTAACGTCACTTTCATAAAACGGGCATCATCTCCGTTTGTGTTTTCTGGTTGGTCGAAAAGATTGAAATTAATTAGCTCCCACAGTTTTTGTCAGTTTGTCTATTTTGACGACGTCTCTACGAACAAAAGGACGTCTGGGCTTATTTTTAAAGCTTTGAATATACGGCATACATCTTGCTTGACAACTTTGTAATATGAAAACAATATATATATATATATATATATATATACGCGCCCATATGTTAATAAACAACTGATAAACGTTGTGTGAAAGTCTCACTTGAAATAAACACGAATTGTGAGAGCTATTTAGATTTTAACTTCCCTGGTAAACTGAAAAACACAAGTGAAGATAATGGCTAATTTGCATAACCATTCAGTCATTAAGAAGTTTGCTAATGCTCATAATTAAAATGGCTTTAAAAGTCTCAAATTTAAACCTATTATCGTTTTGTAAAAAGTTAAATATAGTGCATAATATGGAGATCCCATCATTACTTGTTTTCACCATGTTTCTTTTTGATTATTTATGATTATTTAGCCTTGCTAAATTTTGCTAAACATTCAAAAGAGAGATTGTTTGTACCTGTTTTCTAATTAAACTGATGGTTGCGCAATTAGTTCAACAGTTACCAGATCGATACAAGAGAGAAACAGAAGACCCAATGAAAGTTTTGCTAGGTTTTAAAGTGTCAGGAGTGTGTGCCCTAAATTGCAATAACAATTCAAATGAATACCGTCTGTGATGTAGTGGTGTAGTCCGTAGAATTGTCGATTGATTTTTTTTTTAAATTTTCACAAATAAATCAAATATCCAAATATATCAGTATACTTATTTCATCATTATAAAAATTTGCAATGGTGGAAAATAATTAAATGAGAGTTATACATGGTCAATATTTGTAGAAATATTTATTCTCTTAAATTTAACTTGTAATGGTGGAAATTAATTAAATGCAAGTTGTTTACACCAAAATGAGTCTCAAATGTTTGTTGAAACATTTATTCTCTCAATTTAACAAATTGTAATGGTAGAAATTAATTGAACATAAGTTGTTCACTCGCAAATTGACATTGACACAGAATTTGGCTTGGTAGCATTCTACAGGCTCATTGGTATGTTTGTATCACAAGAAACATAGGTGTACAATTTCCCAATGATTTCACTAACCCGTACGATTCATTCAAAACCATTAAAAATGACACCTTATATCATGATCAGTTTGAGCTTCATCAAAATGGTTTTAAATCACCAGAAACACAATGGAAGTTAAGAGTGCGTATCTAGAGTATTTATTGATAAAGAAGACAAACTGAAAGAAATCGGTGACGAAGATTGAATTGTTATGGTCCTTTGATTGCTCACGTGATTGCTGCTTTGGATTCAAATTGAATAATATTTTAGCTGAATGGTACCGATAAAACATATGTTGGAGTAATTTCATTTATCTGCAAATTAGATCCGTGGTACATCGTGGCCATTCCAGGATGTAAACTCGTTCTTACAATTAAATAAATACAACATTAGTATATTAGGCCCATTTTATATGATATTTCAATCGTGTGAATGCGACGCAAAACATAATACATTGCCAAATAATTTGATTTCAATTATTTCCATGGGATAGCAAATTTAGTCATTTTTGGCAAATTTTTAAATCATTATCAGTATCAGTGCGAATTAACATTATGGCATTTTACGTCTGTCAAATAACGGCCAAATAAATACGTGGAATCATTAATTACTAAGGACCTGGCGTAGAATTGGAAATTACTCCAGATAAACAAATGTCCAATTCGGGAACAGGATAATAGTATATTTGGTTATTGATGAAATATTAGGGCGCCACCAGACGGTCAGGTTTAGCAAATGCGTCGTGTTTCTCTCGTGAAGTTGACGCTGATTGTGCACAAAGGAAGCCGCTCATCCCGCCATTGAATGGTGGCACATCGTGTATGTGGTGTTTACAAAGGACATGGAAATGATCCGTGGTACATCGTGACCAATAATAAAATGATTGGTTGTCCAACTGTGGGCGTGTCTAATAAAATGATTGGTTGTCCAACTGTGGGCGTGTCTATTATTTCTGTGCTAAATGTGCAACACCAAAGTCCCGCCATTTATTTTTCATGGTTGTTCGACCATAGTAGTCTGCATCAGTATCGCGAGTTCTAAGTTTGGTTTGCTATGTTGGTCGCTCGACACCATATTCACCGCCTCCCTCTCGGTACCGACGCCCAACTCGGCGTCCTGTGGAGGAATGACTATTCACCACCGTGACGCCACGCCACCTCGATACCTCTCCTTCCCGGAAACATGCTTTCCAATACAAGCCTGATTTTTCTATAAATTCGGCCATTTAAAATCATATTCTGGACAAATTTTTTATCAATTAAATGATCGGCTTCCATTGCTACTCCAAATCATTCTGAAAATGGGAGCCCAAAAACCCGCAAATTCATTTTACCGCCACTTTACTGCAGTTTTCACACAGACACCATTTAATTTCGTTACCCAATGGCTGAAGCCCCAAAACACATTACGGGATTTAACAGGATCGGCCAATGCGCATGCGTATAAAACAGCTGGTACTAATATCCTAAATTTCTAATTTCCTAATAACCTATTGTGCACTCGTACAATGCAAAATACATATTTGATTAGGTTGGTTGGACATCAAGTACCATCCTATGGCACCCAATTCATATTTCACCAATACTTAACAGCGAGTCATAATTAAACTATTATACTATTTTTTTTATTTAATTAATTGTGAGGATGGGATTACGTTGTGAAATGGCCACGATGTACCACGGATCAAATTATTGTAATTGAAAAATATTTGTTAATCGTTTTATTCATTTCGTGTTATGCAAGTTTAATAATATTTTGACTTATACATTGTTTCAGTATACAGATTCTGTAAGTGCGACGGCCACATGAATGCGAACATGATGGAAAACACCGCAGTGTGTTCTTAAAGAGTATGTGTTATTGGCAGCATAGTCTGTGTTGCTGCACCCAATAAAGTCTCTCTATCTCTATAGAGGTACTGCTCAACCAACAAAGACTTAACTTCTCACCATCGCGACTGGGTTAGACTATTAACACTGCAACTACAACGACAGCGTGTATCTGCATAAAAATATATATTGTCTTAGCGATGGGTAATCTTCATGTAAACATTTCCGGTGTAAACATATATTGATTCGTCAATCTTCGAACTATATAAAACGAACTGTGTCTATATTTTGGGGGCGTGGCGCCGTCTGTTTTTCTTATTTTTCTATAACGCGCATAAGGATTTTAAGATTTAAATTAAAGGGCGGTGGCCGTCGCGTCAAGCATTTGCGTGATATGGGTATCATGTGAACAAAAATGGCGACTGTTGTACAGACCAATGAGTACTAGATGAGACATATCTAAGCTTTAATTATGGAAGAGGTCATCGGCGGTAAATAGTGCTCGTCGCACGAAGGACAAACCTCGTACACTGATTTCCATTAGAACACATTTTGATTGTAGAAAATCAATTTTTATCAACACAAATGTTGCACATGCGACGACCACCGCCTTTTAACAGTGCTCATTCTTCAAGGGTTAGCAGTCACAAATCTGTAAAGGCGATAGGCATCTCTCGTTCACTTTGTTTGCCAAAAATAATGCCATCTGCAAAACTTGGATGCTGTCTCTTATGTCAAGGTTACGCTTTCGCAATCACGTATATAACATTTACACCTACTGGTTTATAAGAAATTGCCCCATGCTGACTGTAGAAACTACCAAGTTATTATTCAGTCATATGGTTTGATTATTAGTTTATTGAGTCAGATACTAACCTCGTTTTTCTCACTATGAAGTTCCATCTTAAATCTGTCAAAAAACAGGAACGTGGTATCTTGTGCATCTTCAAGACTTGCATATTTTTCCTGTGCTTGGTACCCAAAAGAGTCGAATTCTCGTTCCGGTGTAAGGAGGATACAAGTCGGAGCTTTGAGTGTACTGAGACCGTGGTCATGGCCCCATTCTTTATTCATGTAAATATCTCTGTCTGTGTACGCGGATTTAATGAACGAGAATGCGAATCCACTGTATGTGGTTCCAAAATCAATTGCTACCACAGCAATGTATTCTTGAGCGCGTCGTGCACTCAGTGGCCTGAATTTGACCGGGGATGCCATTCCGTCAAGCAACTGCTACAAGACAAAATTACTTATGATCAGTTATTTATAAAGCATAGATTATAGACAGATAATCAGATTTATATACATGCAATTGTATTTTAATACCAGTTGGAGAGCGCCCTCTATGGCTGGCGCATTCTTATTTAATTGTGCCTTAGGGGGGGGGCAGCAACATTGATCCACCTCTTCTGAACTACACCGTCGACTTGCCGGCTTGCAGTTTGTTTCTTCTACAATTTTAGTCGTATTTTCGACATTGTTAAGGCAAGTTCTGGTTTACCTGGGGTTATCGTTCCGCTGTTGAGGTTTCAGGCATTCTTTCACACATTTGTTTAAGTCATCATGAAGCCTAAAGTTTTAATTTTTGGTCATTCTTTTGTGGCACGATTGAGTACGTCCATGTCAAGTGGACGCAACGCACGCGCTTTGCCGCTTTCGTTCAATTTGAGTAATTCGGCAGAAATAAAACTACATGGTGTCGGTGGGCGTACAGTGGAAAAGATACAGCGTTTCGATTTACACGTCGTTCAGGATTTCAACCCAGACGTGGTCATTTTACAGTTGGGTACAAATGATTTAGCATCACTGTCTGCATCTAATGTAGGGTCACGTTTAATTAACTTGGTGCGTCATTTGCATGATCGCATAAACGTCAAGGTCATTATCGTGTGTCAAGTTTTCCCTCGCATCACAGCAGCTCGAAGTAACTTTAACGAACGTGTGGCACAGTTAAACAATATCTTAGAGGTGTTTTGTTAAACATTTATTATTATTTAATTGTCTGTACAAAATTAATTCTGTTTATTCATAATTACGTGCATGTAATTTTTAACGGTATCCTTTTCACTTCTGTTGTTGCTATTACCATGGTTATTATCATGCGATAGAATATTTAGTACAGTTTATTTTCTGTCAATAATTTATTTTGTCAACAGTGTGCCACCAAAGCGTACAGCACCAGTC